CAGGGCAGGGATCCCCCGGCGGCTCGGGCATCAGCGGCTGGGGCCCCCAGGCTGCATCAGCGGCTGGGGCCCCCAGGCTGCATCAGCGGCTGGGGCCCAGGGCAGGGATCCCCCGGCGGCTCAGGCAGCAGCGGCTGGGGCACGTGGCAGGGCTCCCCGGGCCGCACAGGCAGCGGGGGACAGGGTGCGGGGCAGCAATCCCCCAGCGGCTTAAGCAGCAGCGGCTGGGGCGCGTGGCGGTAGCGCCCCGGTGGCATGGGCGGCAGCCGGGGTATGGGAGGGGGCAGCCCCCCGGTGGCATGGGTGGTGGGGAAGCCGCGGGAGAGTCTCCTGGGGGGGTAGATGCTGGGGCTCAGCGGGGCAGTTACCTGGCGCCGGGAGCGACAGCTGGGCAGCGGGGTTTTTTCCGGCAGCTGGGACATGTGGGGACAGACTCCTGGCGGTAGCAGCAGCTGGGCGGCAGTGGATCTCTCCGGCGGCAGGGGAGTGGGGGGGCAGTCTCTCAGCGGTTGCGGCTGCTGGCGATTAGCAGGCGATTCTTCCCGTGGCAGGAGCCCGGCGGGGCAGACTCCCGGCGGCTGGAGAGGGGGGTGTAGGTTCCTCCTCTTGGTGATGTCTCAGCAGGCTGGTCTTGAGATGTGGGAGCTGCTTGCGGCAGCATCTCGGGGGGGAGGGAGGGGCGGATCCTTCCTGTTCTCGTTCTTCCCTCTGGATCTGCTGGTTCGCCATGTCCCCGAGGGCAGTGGCCGGGAGCCTGTGCAGAGCAGTCGGGCGTGCTGGGGCAGTGGTCGGTGTCTTGGGCTGTGTTTTAGGGGCAGCAGGATGCATCTCGGGGCACCATTAGCTCTTGTGGAGTAGCAGATACAGTGGCGTAGCAGCTTATCATAAAAAAGATGATTAAACTGATAAGAACAGATATAAAATTTTATTCGAAAATGTTTAAAAATAGATGATACAGAGAGTATGATACAGAGAGTTTGAAACGTCAGTTATTGGTCATTGGGGGTGTCAAGGCTGCTTCCCCACTTTTGAACTTTAGGGTACAAATGTGGGGGCCTGCATGAAAACTTCTAAGCTTAACTACCAGCTTAGATCTGGTCCGCTGCCACCACTCCCAAAGCTAATTCCCTTCCCTGGGTAGCCTTGAGAGAGACTTCACCAATTCCCTGGTGAATACAGATCCAAACAAGGAAAAATCAATCAGGTTCTTAAAAAGAAGGCTTTTAACTAAAGAAAAAGGTAAAAATCATCTCTGTAAAATCAGGATGGAAAATAACTTTACAGGCTAATCAAACTTAAAGAGCTCAGAGGACCCCCCCTCTAGCCTTAGGTTCAAAGTACAGCAAACAGAGATGAAACACTCTAGCAAAAGGTACCTTTACAAGTTGAGAAAACAAAGAGAAACTAACACGCTTTGCCTGGCTGTTTACTTACAAGTTTGAAATATGAGAGACTTGTTTAGAAAGATTTGGAGAGCCTGGATTGATGTCTGGTCCCTCTTAGTCCCAAGAGCGAACAACTTCCCAAAACAAAGCGCACAAACAAAAGCCTTCCCTCCCACCAAGATTTGAAAGTATCTTGTCCCCTTATTGGTCCTTTGGGTCAGATGTCAGCCAGGTTACCTGAGCTTCTTAACCCTTTACAGGTAAAAGGATTTTGGAGTCTCTGGCCAGGAGGGATTTTATAGTACTGTACACAGGAGAGCTGTTACCCTTCCCTTTATAGTTATGACAGGGGGTAACATACAGAGTATAGGGGGATGCTAGTATTTTGGTATTGGACAGCACAAAACATATACAATCTACAATGTCCCCGATTTTGGGGGGGGGGGGTATACGGTGGGTGAGATCAAGATACAGTCAGCAAGCAGTGAGGGTACATCACTCATACAAAAAGTACAGGCAGTTGTGGGTATATAATTAAGCGGGCCAGGTAATGGGGATGGGTGACCCTCGCATGATGGGGTTCGGTTCGGTGGGCTCAGAGGATAGGCTCCAACAGAGAAAGTCTACTGGTCTCTTAGCCAAAAAGCAGAGAAGTTTTTTCACTTCAAGGTCCCAGAAGCAAAGACAAGGTTTTCATCTCAAGGCCAAAAGACCAAAAACATCAAAACACTTGATCATGGCCTTGGATAGACCAAGAGACTACCTACACTTGACCAGAGCTCAGAGAGCCGGGAAGCTGCAATATGCTGCAAAACGAGACAGCCGTACCTCCGCCACAGCTTTCTACATCACGACAAGGAGCTCCCAGACAAGGACCAAATGCCATCAAGGAGACTTGGACAACTAGGAAACTCTTAAGTGACAATCACTCCCCCTAAATGACTCCAATGTAATAATTCAAAGCAAGAACTCCACACACAATTCTGCTTAAAGACCGAGAATTCTTTCAGTCTGGTTACTTGGGTTCCTCTCGCTGCTTTCCCTGGCTGCTGCTGCGTCCTCCTACATTGCATAAACCCACCCACTTCCTGTGACGTACTCCGTCACTGTTAACTCTCGCAGCAAAACAGATACAAGAAAACGTTTGCAAGCGCTATCCCGGCTGGCCAAACTGCATGGGGCTCTTTTACAGTTAGTGCGGCTCCTGGAGCTCTGCCCCATTCTCCACCTACCAGACTGGGGGGGAGCTCAGGGCTTCTGCCCTGCGGCAGGATAGTGGTGCTAGGGGCTTCTGCTGGAGGAGACTGGTGCCTGCCACTTTCCATGCACAGAATGATTAGGGCAGATTGCCTAGAAAAATGCTGCAAGAAAAGCTGACCTCTCTCTTAGTGTTCGCTTCTCTATCTTCTGTCTCACCCAGGACCGCTCATTAATTTCGAGGAAAACACCGCGGACACGCACCCTGACAACAAGCGATGTACGTGAAAAAGAGAGAATGGTAATCGTTTGGCAGGCATTGAGAGAGTGAGAAAATCTAGCTTATATTCAAGAAAAAATAACTATTCTAGGCTTTAATAGCCTACAAATCATAGATGCACATAGTTTGAAATCACTTGCTCACCAAGTTCTCAGAATATTTCGATTGATCGATAGATCTTCCTTCGCTTCTCTCAAAACCCTCTATCCTTTCGTCAGCACTCTGTGATATTTACTGTGAAGTTTCCCAAAACTGATGGAGGGAAGCCAAAACAAGATCCGCTCGACCCAAGTCCATAAGACGATCACCTGCAAACTCAGTCATGTGAAGCATGGATAACGCATGAAGCGGAAAGCAGCGTGTGCACTAAAGAACACAATTGTATCTATACAGATCAAAAGAAGAAAACCCACGAACCCTTAAGAAAATGAAGAAAAACACTATGACTGAGCATGCTGGACTGTAAACAAAAGACGGTTGCTTTGTAAAACTCATTTGTTCTTTGTGTAGCAACTCCTGGATGATTATCCAAAATGCTTCATCGTGGGAGCAGACAATGTAGGATCCAAACAGATGCAGCAGATTCGCATGTCCCTGTGTGGGAAAGCTGTCGTGCTGATGGGGAAGAACACCATGGTGCGCAAGGCTATCCGTGGTCATCTGGAGAATAACGCTGCTTTGGAAAAGTGAGTAAAATACTGTGATTCCACACTCTGTTCCTGGGGAAGACTGTGTGTTCCCTGGAGGAGTGAAACTGAATGGTGCTGTCTTTCCCCCAGGCTGTTGCCTCATATCCATGGGAATGTGGGCTTTGTGTTCACCAAGAAGGATCTGACTGAGATCAGGGACATGCTGTTGGCTAACAAGGTAAGGGAGGAGGACACTGTTATAGTGCGTCTACTCAGGGAGGTCTTGGGGCCTGATCTGAAGGAAGGAGAGAGTGTAACACTGAACATTCTCTGTGGATGTGTGATTTTTAGAAGGGAGAAAGATACTGACCCCACCCATCCTGTTTCGGTTTTACTACTCAGGGCTCTCTAGAGTTCTGAGCACTCCTTTTTCATGGAGGTTATTGTTAATTTAGCCTTGTGGAAATGACTTTGAGATGGGAAAGTTGGTTTAATCCCTCCATAGGCAGGGTAGGAGGCAACATGATCCAGTGAATAGAGCACCAGAGAATCAGAACAAAATGGCTTTTGTTTCAAACTCTGCCCATGACTTTCTGTCTGATCTTGGATAAGTCACTTAACCTTCTGTTTGTTTTCCCAATTGTACAGTAACTCCTCACTTAATGTTGTAGTTATGTTCCTGAAAAATGCGACTTTATGCGAAACGATGTTAAATGAATCCAATTTCCCCATAAGAATTAATGTAAATGCGGGGGGGGGAGGGTTAGGGGGAAATTTTTTTTGCCAGACAAAAGACATTATATACATATGCAGTATAAGTTTTTAAACCATTTTAAACACTTTAATATTGTACACAACAATGAATGATTGTGAAGCTTGGTTGAGGTGGTGGAGTAAGAGGGTGGGATATTTCCCAGGGAATGCCTTGCTGCTAAATGACGAACTAGCACTTGGCTGAGCCCTCAAGGGTTAACAAGCTGTTGTTAATATAGCCTCACACTCTACAAGGCAGCATGGACTGAGGCAGGAGGGAGGAAACACAATAGATGCAGGGCAGTGGCTGCAGACACTGAACATGATGATGAGCCCACGCTCTCCAGCTAGAGCGCACCACTCCCTCCTCCTGACAGCACAGGCACGGCTGCACATGTGCTGACTTTCCAAAGTGCTTGGGGGTGTGTGCATGAGTGATAGAGATGTGTGTTGCCCCTTTAAGTATGCTGGCCCCACTTCAAGTATGCTGCCCTTTTAAGAAGTTCAGACAGGAAGCATTGGCTTCCATCAAGCTCCCCCCTTTCTGTCCCTGAGCCCTGTCCCCCTCCTCTGCTTTGTGGAGAGGGGGTATGGAGCGGGGGGGGGTGGCAGGAGCAGGGGGACATCCTGACATCAGCACCCTCTTCTCTTCCCCTCCCACCCCCCGCAAGCAGGAAGCTCCCGAGAGCAGCTCCAAGGCAGAGGGCAGGTCAGGAGCAGCGGGGGAGCACCTGAACTGCTGCTGGGCAGCTGCTGAGTCTCATACCTTACAGGGAATTTAGGGGAGCTGATGGGGAGATGCCAGCCCCTCCGGTTCTAATCCCCAAGAGGAGGAGTTGCTCTTCCAGGGAATCCTGCAAGCGGTGGACAAAGCAGGCGGCTGCCAAACAACGTAATAAGGGAGCATTGCGCAACTTGAAACGAGCCTGTTCCCTAATAGATCAGCAACGTAACAACGAACATCGTTAACCGGGACAACATTAAGTGAGGAGTTACTGTACGGTAAACCTGAGCCTGCTCTGAGACTATGGAGGAACAGCTCCATAAAAATGCAAAGGATCGTCTCCTGTATCCCATGTTAAGCATCCTAGATGCAGTTTGTTAGAGGGGAGATAGAAGCTGCGTCCAGGGAATGACCAACAGAAATGATTCAGTTACTTGTGAACTGGCTGGATGTGAAGTGATTTGACTTATAAAATGACCTTGAATGAAGGAACAATCTGACTGCTCATGGCAAATTTATAGATTTCCGTGCTCAGAGAGGTCAGAACTATTTAGATATATCTTTACGGCCACAAATACCGCCCGCACTCTCATATTAGCAGACTGTGGAAAAGTAGCAAGAACAGGGAGACAGCTTTTCAGTGTTCCAATTTCTGCTGCTGTTACTTTCTTTCTCAAGTTAATATAACTCCCCCTGCAGCTCTAGGAGCCCGAGAGCTGCTTCCAGCAGCCTCCTCAAACGGCACAGTCCACCTGCTGTCTGGTATTTTTAAGTTGCTGCAGCTGTGACTTTTTCCTGATCCATGACAAGTTTTAACCACATCAGTTCTTTCTGCTGATCACAATGAAAGCTGGTTCTTGAATTAGTTCAGCAGCAGCCGGACAGTCCTCATTCTGGTTAAAGCCATTCAGGGTATATCTACGCTGCACTAAAACACCTGGAGCTGTCCCCTGTCAGCTGACTGGGGTTTGTGGGCCTTGGGCTATAAAATTGCAGGGTAGACGCTTGGGCCAGGACCCCAGGGTCCCAGAGCCCAGGCTTAAGCCTGAGCCTGGACGTCTGCACTGCAGTTTGATAGCCAAGCGAGCCCAAGGCTGCTGACATGGTCCAGCCGCGGGTGTTTAGTGCAGTGTAGACGTACCCTAAGGGTAAGCAATGTAAACCCAGGGTTCAGACGCAGGCTCAGCTGTAATCCCCTTCCATTTACACACAGATTGCACTAACCCAAGGTCCCAAGGCCCTACAGGGCTGAAAGGTCCAAACCTGAGTCAAGCTGGGACCCAGGGTTCAAGCCCTGTTGGTTTGCTGTGTTGATGCAGCCCCACTGGAC